TTCTTTGCAAATTGCACAGAGACTTAAATTGAACTGTTGACAATGTGTGAGTAATAATGATTGTTGTAGAAGTTTATTTAATGTGGCTCTTTTTTTCAGTCACATTGTCCTGCTGTGGCTAGTTGGATTGTCATCTTTAATAGGGTGGACAGTCTGGCGATTTTTTATTTTCTCAAGATCTCAAACAGTGTAAGTAGAACACTTTTCATAAATAATTACATTTTAGAGGTTTAATAAACTGAAATACAGCCCACCAGAAATGACATCATTTTGTTGCCTTCATTAATGTGAGAGTACTTTATAGGTCTGGTCTGCCGGATGTTGATCAGCGTCGACAGAGATGGGCCCTGGTTCGGTCCTGTGAATTGGGGAACTTTGTTGTGAAATCTGATTAACAGATTCTGGTTTCTGTTTGTTGATGTGCCTTGCTTCGCTTCAGAGGTAATTTTCTTCCTTATAATACCGTAGAACCTTCCATGTCCCTTTGTAGCCACTGTGCAGTTTAGTTTAACTGTAACGCTTGTGTTTCGTGTTTGGGAGTACCCAGATATAATCTCAGGTGGGTTACCAGTTGTCTTGGTTCTGTTGTTTTGTTTTCCAAGCACTGCCGGTTTAACCACTATAGTATTTTTCAGCGGAATTGGCGGCTGGGTCGAGTTCTGCCTTTTGTGAGTGACCAATCAGCGCAAAGAAGGTCTGTTGGTAAGCAGGGAGACCTCAGTCTGTTCAGAAACCCCGTGGTAGAAGCATCGGCAGCTGCACTGCGTTGTTGCCAATTATTATATGTTCTTTGCACAGTGTTGTAACCATTCACTGGAATCTAATGTTCCGCGATGCTACATCTGACACCACTCCATGTTGTTTCCTCACTATCTCGCCCCACCGCCTCCCATCACTACTTCCTACCATGGCACAGTACATGTGATTGGTGCACGCTTCAGCCGCCAATTCGGCTGAAAACTGTCATAGGCAAACTAAGCATATGCCAAGGGTGGCAGAATTGGAGGGGGAGAGCATGCACATGAATAAAAAATAATGAGAAATAATGCAAAAGAGAATATAATAAGCAGCTAGAAATAGAAAGACAAAAGGCAAGAACAAGTGTGTGTATGCATGTTTGGTTTTGTAATATGCCTCCATCAGTACCTGATATCTTATATAAATGATTTATTTGTATTTACTGAAGTTGACAGGGCAGGGGACACAAGGCTGAAGGTTTGCTTAGGGCACCAGATACCCTTGCACTTACCCTATCTCCAAGCTTGTATTGGGGTAGTATCTTGAAGTATACCACATCCTCATAAATTCTTATCTCACAGGTTTGTAATCTCCAGGTAATTTTGATGATAGGGAGATGAAGCATGTCAAAGTGGATCTCCAGTAGTATGATTTGACACAATGTTCGTACTGAATTTCATGAAAATTGTTGTTTAATGTTATGGTTTATAACTTATTTTGGGATGTGTGTGTGCATGTGTATGGAAAAAATAACATTGCACCCAAGCAAAATAGTCAGGTTTTGTGTATGAAGTTCCTTTAGTAACTTGTTTTAATCATATAAAATTTGAGCAGTATTAAATCCCACAATAACTAATCCTGTGGAACCTTAGAATACGTATTTTTCTCAAGACATTATATTTATATGCTTCAGTACTTTTATGGATAAAATGTTGGTTTGTAAATATTTATTCATGAATATGTTCTATGCACTTTTATAAAGTCACAGGCCCAAAATCTTAAAGAAAAAATACTTTGTTTAAAGTTCGTCATATTACCAGCACCGAGCCGTTGTCGTGAATTAGTACAAGTAGTTTAAAAGTGTTTAGCAACAAAATGGTTTAAACTCTTCGGTACAGCCATGACTAAAATTCCCTGAGCTTTTCTTAGACTTGAACTATGATTATGCTTCATAAATAACTTAAACCAGTTTTACGCATCAGTTCATTTTTCTACATTAAGTTTGCTTTAAACTCTTTTTTTTTTTTCAGTGGTTCATTTTATTACTGTGATCTTTCCTGATTATGAATCATGAAATAACAATATATTGACATAAAAAAATTGTTTAGTGGTTGGACATCCATTTCTCTTATTAACTTCAGAAATGTAATATGAAGATAATTTGACTTAAAAGGTGGCAATGGCGCCCTTGTCCATAGGCTGAAGAAGCAGGAAAATCTTGAAGTCTAGATAGTCATCTGAAATTGGTCGAGCGTGAAGCACGGAACATGGAAAAAACAGTCCATGTGTAGAGATATGGTGTTTAAATATAGGATGATACTAAGAATGACAACTGCAGGTACAGGTACAAATATGCATAAACCAGAGATGTGATCTCTGAAAGTTTTGGTGCTGCAATTTCCATCGTTATCTTTGTTAACTTTGTAGTTTGTCAAATGTTTGTGTTCTGTTTATTTTTATTACATCCTTCCAACACTGTATTTGATACTTCTGATTACCTGTTTGTGGATTAATTTGATTGCAGATTGTCTGTACACTTACTAGAACTTGTTTATAAAACTGTATGCCCCAGGTATTTGTTAACGAAGCTTACATCTTATTTGCTTATCCTTTGTCACATAATGTCCTCCTGTTGAGGTTTGGTTCAAGGTAGATCATACTATTACAGAAAATAGGTAAAATTATATAGTAAAACCTGGCTAAAATAGAAAAATGAAATGAAATCCGTGGCGTAACAGCTCCAGAGAGCCAAAGCCGACTAGCTGGCTTCACGTTCACATGCCTCAGCAGAGGTGAATGATCATCCAACCAGATATAGGGTGACGTGTGGTCAGCACGATGAACCCCCAGCCATTACTAGTTTTCATGACCAGATTACGCTACTTATTGTAGCTCCCCAATTTCCTCACGATGTGGCACCGGTCCCATACACTGGTTGAAAGCTCATGAGAAAATTTCTTTTCCCCCGAGACTCGAACCAGCGCGCATTCCGTGTCGTCGGTCCGAAGCATGCCTCAGACGGCACGGGACTGGCTAAAATAGAACTGTTGTGAAAATAGAAAGCTGTCTTAACCAAAATAATTCTGTAGCCCCAACGGAAGAAAAAAGATTTGTAATGAAATTACCTCTGTGAGGTAGAAGGTGTTGAATATGGAAACAGAAAGGAAAAGTGAGTTTATGGAATGGCTTCATGAAAAGAAAACTGTTTGTGACTGGTAACTAGGACGCTAATGAAATTGTGTGGAGTGATTTGTTAAACAGATCACCGCAAAGTTTCAAAAGCGGACACAGCACGTTTTGCAGAAACATTTGTAAAGAAGTAGATGTGAAGACAAATTTGTGATGGTTTGGCCTTCTTAAGAATAACATTTTTTTTTAATATAAGAAAACAGTTCTGGTACTATGAATTTTAATTGGCTCTGCATTAAAAACAATGAGATGTGCAGAATCACAAAAACACATTTGAAAAATATGTGCTTTCTGTTTCAAAGTACACATTTTCACTTTTTGCTTTTCTTCAGTCTTCACACTATAAATTTATCTTGGAGGAAATTAATGAGTTATGGGTATTAGATTTATAGATCAGATAATACTATGTAGACAGACTTTTTATGCGTATTATTTCACTTACAATAATAAATAAACACAGAAATATGACTTAAAAAAACGTTCAGGTAGACACATGAAAATGTCCGTATTACACTTACACGCACACACACACTCACGCACGCACTGCATTGTTTCTCTCTTGTTGCATTTAGTTATTGGCACATTATTTAAAATTAATAACTGTTATGTTCCTATGAGTGAGTAACTCTTTTGCTGAACTGTGAACATCAAAAACTGTAGTAATACACGTCATTATAAATCTTACAGAAAGCAAGAAAGACATGATGTTCTTGACGCTTATCGTCTCAGCAGATGGAGTACACTTTTGATTATGTAGAGCGTTTTATAAACTCTAGGATTCTGGTTAATCTTCTTCTTTAAGGTAAACTTGAAGTGGGTTGAGACCTTTCCTTCTCGATGCTGATGTTGTATTCACAGGTACTGTTCACAAGAAATATACGTGTCAAATCCCAATATAAATATAAAAAGGCAGAGTGATTGAACATTTAACGCAATGTAACATGGAAGCATTCACAAAAAACAAAACAAAAATTCAGTAAAAGTTTCGTCAGTTTACACTTTTAAAGTATCCACTGCCGAGCATATAAAAGGTTTGATCCAAGAAATTGGATATCGATTAGATTGTGAAGACCTCATCTGTTACAGCTTATGGAAATTCATGAATAAATATCTATGCCTAGAATGCAATTATAAAACGTTACGTCCCTAACCTTATGCTGCATCTGACATATTAGTGTACTAAAATTAAAGATGTCCCTTGTGGTGCTTGATATATTAAAAGACATTGAAATTAACTTGTGTGAGTGTGCTGGGATACAGAGAGTGTGAATGGTGTGGCAAAGATTTTAAGAGAGCATTAGACTGGTATTTATAGTAATTAATCGAAACAGTAGTTGCATGATGAATTACTAACAATCTGCATAGAACAACATGAAATGAAATACTGTGTTTCTAATAGAAGACTTACCGCTGTTGGTGCGCTGTGTGCTGAGGCAATTGAGCCACTCCGTGATGCTGATTTTACGATCATTATTGACGTCACAGTAACGGGGCAGTCGCTTACCACAGCGACGCAGCTGTGGGTTTGAAGATACCAGGGCTCGAAAATGTTTCCATTCTTTTCTCTCTAGTACCTGAATGACATTAATGAAATAAGCATTAGGACCATCTGACATGTTGCATTTCAGAGTCAAATGGATCGCACGTCATTGGTTTTAAAATAAATTAGCCCAACTACTAGATGTGTGTGAAACGTGTTACCATATACTTTTAGTTTAACTAAAAATTATCCTAATAAAAGTTGCACATTTTTTCAGAGATTTATAATAACCACATATCGTTTTAAATACATTGAAAGCTACTGTCTGTTACTCAGGAGAAAAGCTTTAACCTTGGCAACGTGGATGGATATTGCGGGGGAAACGTGGGCCTTGTCAAAAATATAAGGCTTAGACCCTGCATAATTCTCTCTCTGCTTTCCTGCCTAGTCTTTTCACTGTTTTAACTGACACTCCACAACATTTTCACTGTTCTTTCATCTTCCACTGCTTTTTGTTCTGTTATAATAATTAGGGTGATTGATTAACATTTTTGTGTTGCTGATGATTAAAGTTGGAAAGTGCCTAAATGTAGTGGTAACCATATTTTGTGTAAATTTCAAATATGTGATACTAAATATAAATTGTGGAATCTCAAGGTGTTATACCATGAGAATGGAACAAGTGCCTTTTTTTAAGATTCTTACCTTATTCTTGTTTTTATCCAGCATAAGAAAGTTCCATGCTGCAATCTGTTCCTCTGTCGACTCCTGCCACGTTTCCTTTATAGGTACTGAATAGCTGTGAACATATATTTTTTTCTGAGCACTTTGTTTTCAGACACTTGTAATATGTTTTCTTCGCTAGAAGAGACTAAATTTCATTCCCATTTGAAAAGAACTGACCAAATTATTGTTTTATAATATATATCTTGATTATAAGTAGATGTAATAACAATTTACATATACACAGTATAAAAGTGAAGGGAAGCTCTAGTTACCTCTCCGTGCTTGTTTGATTTTTTGAAGCTTCCATCTTTTTCTTCATTAGATCCATTAATTCTCTTAGGAAGGCCTGTTTTCGGGGATCAGGACAACCTGCAAGATATGTTATGTTAGTACATAGATGAGACTGAAATCTGCTCTAATTTCACTCTGTGAGACTAATTATTTGAGGGTCAGTCTCCGGAAACCACACGTGCATATTTTCTGAATTTGCAATAGCAATAACAGCATTAAACAAAGTTACAAATTGTATGTAATTTTCAGTGGTTTCACCTTTAGCAATCTTTCACTTCTGCCACTAGAAAATACAAAACTTTTGTCGATGTAAATTATGCAAAGAGGTGTGGTAGTTCTTTGAAGACAGTAGCGTGAAGTTAGTAGAACCCACAGGTTCAGCACTGTAAAAAGAAATCTTACCATAGGGCATTCCTCTGGACTAGTTCTGTCCATCTTCCATCCTGTTACCCCAAGGTCCATCCCTTATATATATCCACCCATCATTGTCTTCTCAGTTTTCCAGGTGGCCATTTTCCAAGAGGTTTCTAATCAAAGTTCCTTATGCGTTCTTCCCCCCATTGAAGCTGCATTCCTAGCCCACGATATCAAAACTAGCTGGTAATTTATATCACAATCAATGCTTTTATGAAATCCCCATTCATATTTCAATGCACAAAGATCCTGTTCAATAAAAATGAAAACTAGGTGAGCTGTTAAGTATTGATCATCCTTAATAAAATAATATCAGAATGGTGTCACTGCATTGAACCACACTTCTTACCATTCATTGGCCGTAGCGGCGCTGGTATCGTGTCGCACTTCGGAACCTGGTCCTTTACAGATGTCCCTGGTATGGGTTTTCCGCTGTCCTCATGCACACACCAGCAGTAACCTACACGAAGTTACATTTTTCATGGTGTATATATATCCAGCTACTACTTATTCTGTTTCATTCAATATCTGTTTAAAATATTCATATTTTAAAAACAGTGATTCTCAGATTGTGTTATGAAAGTGGTTCATATGGATTGTTTAAGTTTCTGTAATGGCAAATTTTCTGTTCAAATTACAAATCTTAAGACAACTTATGATATACAGCCACGAGACTACATGTCGTAACAACCCAAACGACCACAATTTAAACAAACGCCATCATGATAACCTCCAACCATATATGAATTACCTGTAGATTTGTAACACTGTATGGTTTGGTATCGTCCATCTGGTGTGCATTCTGGTACGTAGAATTCACTGTAGTTGATTTTCTGTTCTTCCAAAACTGCTTTCCTGTCTGAATGGCAATCATTTCCTGTAAACAAATTAATTATTTGGATAATGTCTTTGTCAGAAAATAACATGATTGAATTTTTCATTAATATTTTTCCTCGTTGTACTGAATAATTCCCCGACCTTTCTCCTTTGGATTGAATTCGTCTGCCAAGAATACAGTGCTTTAATGCCATTATTTACTCTAAGAAATTTAAAAATAAAAGTGAGAACATATTTTATAGATAATTTGAGTTTTGAAATTAAAAGTAACTATATGCCCAAATTTATTTAGTGGAAGAAATATTGCATTGAAGTACAAATTATAATAATGCAGTGGGGTAAATACTGAATAAGTAGCGTCCATCATACTAATACTGGAACGATTAACAGAAAGTTGTACGTGCAGTAACGTCCACCCTGTATTAAGAATAGGTGAGTCCTATGGACTGTTTTTTAAAAGACGGTAGTGAAATAAATTAATTGTTTTCTAAATGTTATTGGTGATAGTGTTGAATTACCAATTTGAAATTTTTGGACTTTTCATTCGCCATTGTGCTTCCTCAAACCACTACGTTACATAGATTTTTGCACGGTTGAATTATACAGGCTAGCGAGTCCATTTCCCAGTGCCCACAGATCGTGATTAACTC